TAAAAATAATGAAACCAGCATTTCCCTCTGGAGGTGGAGGATTGATTAGAAACAGGCATGGGGAGTGTCCTGGGGGGTTGGCAGTGTTCTGTATCAGATATGGATCTGGATCAATCAGAGTTCTCCATATATTATGTATGTGTGTATGTATAGGTAGGTAGGTAGGTTCTTGACTGATGATTGGTTGAAGGATTTTAAGGAATTAAGCAGTGATGGGATTGGCATGTCTGAATTTTGGAGGGCAGAACTGCAGGCTGGAAACTCAAGCAAAAGTTGATATTGCATCCCTGAGGCAGAATTCTTTCTCCAGTATAGCGCAGTAGTGCTAGCATTTGAATTCATTTAGCGTAGGCTACCTTTTGATCCATGTTTCAGCCAGTCAACCTCATAAACCATTAGAGCCTGACTCCTCAAGCTTCAGCATTGAATCTAGACCTTCTCCTTTGTGGACCCATATCAATAACTTCAGCTTGATCCAACTTTGTATTTCTTCCACCATTATCCCACGCATTAATATCCATTTGTGCACATATTCCCATATTTTTGTCCATATAAATAGGGAAAGTCATGCAGTTCCTTTTGGATTGTAGTGCCTCTCGTCCTAGGTCACACTTTGTACCTAACTTTTCAGAACCTGCTGGGAATAGCATCTAGTTGTAGGTTTAGAAGCAAATACCAAGGCAACCGCCTCAGGAGAGACATCTGTAGGTTCTCAGTCAAAACAGGGTTAACCTCCTCAGACAGGAGGAAGGGCTGCTACTACTAACAAAGAAGACTCAGCAAAATTTAGGGGTTCAGTGTCCTCAGCTTCAGCAGCCTTGGCACATCCATTTGTCAGACTTGTACAGCTCAGATTTGTGCGTTTAAGTGTATGTGAAATTTACATTAAAAAGAATTGTTAAAAAATGTTTACTAGTACTGTGGTGGAGTGGAGTATGGGTACACTCACCGAAGATACAAACGTAACAGTGCTGCCAGTGACTGACCCTGGACGATGGATACGTAGGTGTTTATTATACCATTACGTTGTATTTAACCGGTCCTATTAGGGGACATTTAGACTGTATCTGCTATCATTATTTTAAAAATCACATTTTTGTATATTCAGCTTTTTCTGAATTTCAAATGTTTTCTCAGGATGGATTCTTAGAGCAGAATTACAGACTTAAATTTTATGAGAATCTTAAAGGCCTTTGATTTAACTGCCTGTACTAATTTACAATCCCATCAACAATGTATAAAAATACATATCATAAGGAGGGGGAGGGTATAGCTCAAGTGGTAGAGTGCATACTTAGCATGTGTGAGGTCCCAGGTTCAATCCCCAGTATTTCCTCTAAGAATGAGTAAGCCTAATTATCTCCCACCACCAAAAAAACAAACAACAAAAAACAAACAAAAGAATAATTTAAAAATACACCTAATTACCTCCCCCACCAAAAATTTTTAAAAAATTTTTTTAAAAATACATATCAGATACCACCCCAGCGAGATTTTTTTTCTCACTTCCCCCCATGATTGCTAAAGAAATTGTTACTCTGAGGATATCTAGAAACTAGTAAGTTACTAGTAGCCAAAGTGTTGACTAGTTTATATCATGACATCTGCTTTGCCTGTGAGAAATGGATCCCTAGGCTCTAGGTTTTTGGTTGGTTGGTTGGTTGGGCCTTGGTTGTGTTTTTTAAATGGTAAAAAAGTGGAAAGGATCAAGGATGAGCCCAGTGTGGCCCTCAGACTGCGTTCATAGCTGGGTGCATCTTCTAGCTTTACCCCACGTATTATCAGCTGCTGCCCCAGCTGGAAGGGTTATTGCTCTTTCTGTTGAGCATCTAGGCAGTATTAAGATCCCGTCATTAATGATGTATTGGTATTGACTAAATATCAACAATGCCCCATCATCACTGTCTTGAAGTTTTTATAATCAAGCTTAGAAGCAATCTTCCTGCAATATCAGATAATTCCAAGTTCAAGTTCTTTGGTTTTCCTGTCCCCAGGTTCACAGCGCCTCAGGCAGAACTCTATGAAGCTGTTCTAGAGGTCCAGAGAGATTGCCTGAGCCTGTGCTCCCCTGGAACAAGCTTGGAGAACATCTACAGCATGATGCTGACACTGATAGGGCAGAAGCTGAAGGAGCTGGGGATCGTGAGGAACAGTAAGGAGAGTAATACCTTCAAGGTACTTCACTCCTTTTGACCCCTGTTCTTAAGAACACCTGACATGTGCTTGGTTTTTATCCTATGTAAAGCTAATTAGACTTGGAAATGGTGTTTGTGATTCTTCACCTGCAAGAGGGACTTCTGAGAGAGTAAAACAAAAGTTCAGTATTTATTTCTCCCAGAAGATGGCAGCACATTCTGGCTCATTGCATCCTGTGTAACTAGCTCCACCTTCAGAAAACGTAAAATGAAGTCTGTTGCAGAGAGGGTGGAAAAGGACATAAAAAGGAGGCGTTAACTCTTAATTCTTTTGGAGTGATTTTGAAAAGATAGGGGTCACAGGGGAGCGTATTTGTTGTTGCTTCAGTAACATTGTTGAGACTTTTAACAGTATCCTCATTGCTATGTCTTTAAGGAATTTCATCTGCATCCAAAATGCGGTGTTCAGTAAAAATTTAAAGCCTCAACTTCAAATTAAGATGCCAGGTGGTCAAGCCAAACAGACCACTAAGGCATCTCCTATCTCCAAGTTTAGGCTGCAGGGGTTCTTTTTATCAATAGGAAAAGAAGCTATAGATTCCTGCTCATGCCAACAAATCTTCAGCGGATAGAATTATCCAGGCTGGCAAGTGCCTAATAATTACCGTGTTATTTGATGTTTCATGCCTACTCCACAAGTTGCTGTGTAATACTTAGGGTCTCCAGAATAGGCTTCCTGAGAGGGACGTGTGCACATTGAAAAGAAAGCTGTTCTAACATAATTATCTTCCCTCCCCCAAAGAAAGAGACTTCCATTTGCCATAGTCATTACTGGGGTTACCCTGGTTAGCACGTGGATAGTATATTCAATAGTAGGGAGGGAAACATGGATTACTTAGAATCCCATTGGCAGAACTGCATGCAAGAGGTGGCCATTTACCAGGTCTCAAGCATCAGCCCAAAGATAGGTTAAACGTAAGTGGCAGAACCAGGGTGGACGGGGAGGGTATGAACACATATCTCAGATTTATGTCTGCCCAACATTCCCCTTAAGGGGTCATTGCTCTAATAACACTGTGATACTCTTTCCCAGGCTGCTCGAAAATACTGCCCACATCACGTCGGCCATTACCTGGGGATGGATGTTCACGACACTCCAGACATGCCCCGCTCCCTCCCTCTACAGCCGGGTATGGTGATCACAGTGGAGCCAGGTAAGGGGAGGCGCTGGCAGCCTCCAATCCATGGGAACACATAATTCTACTGTCAGATAGAAAGTAAACACTCTATTTTTATCTGAACCAAAGCAATCAAATTAGGAGATGTAGGAAAATGAATCTCTCCAGTGTAGATGGGAACTTTTTGATTTTTCTTGAGCTTTCTTCTTCAACATCGCACAATTTATTTAATTTGACTCCTCCAATAAATAACAGGTGGGGAATACTTTCTATAAGTAGATATTAAGAAACAAATCTTTTTTTAACCCTGCCTTTGCTGGGGCCAATTTGAACTAGTCTCCCATGCCGTAGTGGTGGGCTGCTCAGTGCTTTCCTGTAGGGCCACTCAGACTCCCCATGTTCTCAGTTGCAGCTCCTCTGCAAACTGCACTGAAATGCCTGCATTGTTCTGCTTTTTGGTATCCAAATCCTTTCTCCTAAGCTTCAGGGAAAGCTGGCGATCTAATGGTTCTGTGGCTTGAACGGTGTGAATGTTGGGCAGCATTCAGTGAAGTGGTGGCTGTGGTGAAGTGTGAAGGGAAATCACAAGTCACTTTTAAACACTGATGCTGTTTTTGTCATGAAAGCAGATCTCAATCTCAAATATCAAGTGTTTTCACCTCCAAATTATGTTAAGTTATAGCTGGGACACATCTTTTATGCCACCCTTTGAGGCCAGGCATATGTTGCTGTCTGTAGCCTTATGTACCATTGAATCCAGTCTAGTTGGCACCTGGGCACTTCCTTAGACTTTACATTTTCCTTTGCTGCTCTTTGTCTTTTTATCACAGAATAGTAGCTGTGAGTACAGTGAAGGAAGTTTACCATTCTTTAATATAAAAAAACCTGGTCTGTCTGACTTAATGATTAGAAAGGGAACCTTGGCCTCTTAGAATTTTTCAAATGTTCATTAAAATCTTCCTTTTCCCTCCTTACATCACATACATCAATTGTATTTATGGCTTATTTGAGTATTTCTGCAGCTTCTGGTTGTTGAGGCTAATAATATCTAAATAGTATTTTTTTAAATACATTTTTCAATGCATTATGTCTTTATTTTACCGAAGTGCCCTTTCTCCAAGGGACTGTTAGGCAAAGAAAGAATGCATTTATATAATTTACTGGTTCCCAATATGTACCTACATACTTGTCAATTAAGTAACTTCAGTGGCCTGCCTGCGGCACTGGGACACAACAGAACAATGGTCACCATTGCTGCAGTTGTATAGGTCTTGTAGCCCAGCAAACACAGTAATGTCATGATAGCTCTAGTAACGGTAGGCAGCATTTACTGACCATTTATGTACCAGACTTTTTTGTGCATATTATCTCATTTAGTCTCCACATTTCTATTAGGTGGGTACCATCAGGATCCCGGCTTTACAGATGAATTGTAACACAGAGAGCTTAACTTACTTGCCCCTAATCATCCAGTCACTGCTACTTCTGAACAGCACCTTCTTTTTTCTACTTCTCAGGTATTTATATTCCAGAGGATGACAGAGACGCCCCAGAGAGGTTTCGTGGTCTTGGTGTACGAATTGAGGATGATGTAGTGGTGACTGAGGACTCACCTCTCATCCTTTCTGCAGATTGTCCCAAAGAGATGAATGACATCGAGCAGATATGCAGTAAGGCCTCTTGACCTTCATTGCGGCCCACGTGCGTCTCAGGTTCAGGAGGGGTGGACGCTGGCTTCTGTGCACCTGTGCTTCCGGTGGGGTCCCCGTGTGTTCCACTGGGGAGTGCAGCCGCTGTATGAGTGTATATAATTGTCTATGTGGTCTTTTTTGTTTTAAGTAGCTAGAAATCTGGAAAATTGAATTTTTGGACTTTATGTTACTGCAACTTTAGTAACATTAATTCTGTAGAATTAATGACCCGGACAAGTTTAATTTTAAGATGTAAAGAAAGATCTTGGTATGTATGTTTATGCATCCCAGTTAACACAGTTAAACATATAGAAAATTCTCTCCTTCTCTCCAGGTCCTTCCCTTTCTGCACTTTTGCCAAAATCTATCTAAGATTTTTCTGTAATGCTTATATTTTGAGCGAATCACCAAGGTCCTTGCCTGCACTAGAAGCCACCTGTCAGTGACTGTGGGTGGCCAGTACATGCCTTCCATAACAGCCACCTACCTACCTACTCAGAAGCCCATGTGTCTGCAGGAGCCACAGGAACCCTCGGGCACTGGCGTCCTGCGGTCCCACCATTCAGCCAGAGTCCAACAGTCCTAGCTACCAAACAAAACTGTTTTGAGCCTTTCTTACTATCTGGTTGCCTGGGACCTGGAAGGTGTTTAGACTCTTGATAAGGAAATGGAAAAGAAAGAAAAGTATATTTGTGTCTGCTAAAGATCAGATCCCCATTCATCTGTTCTTGACCTCAAGATGATTTTCTTCCCAGACATCCACACTTTCTGTATAGATTCTTAATGTACTGACCCTCATAGCACACCCTTGTAGCTGCTTCCCTGGCCAAGGGCAGATCCTCTGCTTATCCTGTTAAAGTCAGAGGAATGGTACCCAGTATTTAGAGAGACACCCTGGTTATCATTCTGTGATTTCCTCTAGTGCCAATAAAAACAAAATATGGAACCCACCAAGTCACAGTAAACACCCTGTGATCCTTTCCTTTCTTGGACATTAGCACTGGGAGGGCACTGGTAAAGGCTCATATTTCTCTCGACCTGGCATTGGATGTCGTTATACAGAAATCAGTTTGTAAAGTGAACAGAGCCAGATGACTGCAGATGGTTTATTTGAGAGCTTCTGTCATAGAAGGAAGTTTTAAGAAATAGTGTGTTCACCTCCTTTAAACCTGAATATGATGCCAGGATGCACAAAACATTCTGATTGTTAGAGCATAAATTTGAAGGGTTTTTTTGAGCATGTATCTGCATTAGAGAAGCACTGGATAGGAGGTTAACGCTCCCTGCAGGGCCAGAGATTTGCCTGTCTTGTCAGAAAAACCCGAGGCACAGCATCCAGCACAGACAGGCAGTGACTGCATCAGGAGGCAAAGGTAATGGTATAAATCAGAGTGATACAGTTTATGTCTTGACAGTGCTCAGCCACAGATGCTTGGCTTTGCTAAGCAGCTGTGGGAATGGATGGCTGCACAGCTGCAGTCGTCATCTCTGTGCCTGCCCTCGGCGCCTCCTCCAGCTTCTCAGTCCTGTGTTACCTTCTAAAAGAAGAAGACAGAAAGTAAACCCACAACTCCGGCTTCTCGCTCCTGGGCCTCTGTGACCCAACAACCTTTCTCTTGAATTGGGTTTCCTTTGTTGATTTACAGTCCTGAAATACAGTATTTCCTTTTCTTCCTATAAATCATTTTCTGTGTCTTCAACTTTCCAGATAAAAGCTTAGGTGGCTTTTATGTATAACAGCCTACTTGGAAATGAAACAGACTTTTTCCAGCTAGATTCCCAGCAAGTTCTGCAGGTGTTGCAAGAATGACTCTTGCAGAATTCTTCTGATGGTTTGTAGTCCCTGACCCAGCCATATTGTCCTTTGAGTCCCAGATTAACCACAGCAGCTAACATTTGAATCAGACTGTCAGAACCATCAAGAGATGACTTGGTGAACACCTCAGAGCAGTGGTCTGGGGACTGTCTGATGTATTCAGGATTTGTTGAGCAGATAATTATGCACAATGCAGGAATCTCATTCATTCTTAGCCACATCACAGATGTACCCCACATTTCCCTCCAGGTCTCAGTATAATATATACTTTACATATACACCAGGTTCTCCTAGTGGAAACTGTAACCTTTAAAAAATCTTTCAAATGTTACACCAGAATTTTTCTCCCTGAATTGAAGATATGGCTGAAATATTAACAATGTCATCTAAATGAAAGAAGTGTATCTGGATGGTCTCTGCTGCATACTTTTATGGTTTTCTTTCAGGAATTGCCATTTTTCCCTCTAATCAAGAAACCAGGATTCTTTCTTGTTTGAAACACAGCAGTAGAAATATGGAGTAATAACTCTCTCTTCCCATAGTCATACCCAAGTTAGGAAGGTACTTCTCATGGTGACTTAAAGTTCTCTTTGTGTGTCTTCTTTCAAAACATTGTTCTCTTTTCATTAATTTTTGTAAGGTCAGAAATGGAAAACTCCTACTCTAGACATTATATCTTAATCGGGATTAAGATCCATAAAATAAATTAATCCCTGTAGAAAGACATTGTAACTCATCAAAACAGAAAACTTGGCTTTGTTATATTTTTCAAAACTCATATAACCAACATCCTCTTCAGCTTTCTTAATCATAGAAAGATTGCAAATGTGATGCAGGAGTGCTTCTTCTCCCTGTCCCGTGTCCATGTCAGATCACAAGCACAGCACAGTGACCTTCCCCCCAGTCCAGCTGTGACCTCATGGTCCTTTGTAACAGTGTTTCCAGTAACTGCCTTCCATAAAACAGTTGAGATTTGAGTTTGACCCTATCTGTCATCCCTCACCCGGCATATGATTGATGATAGTATAACTTATTTGTGTGTGTCCATTAGAAACTGAGGGCCCAGGATGATGGCAGCATAAAGGCCCCTGCTTGGAAGAAGTTTTTATGGTGTGGTTAATTTTTTTAAATTTTAGTTTCCTGAAGTGGGCTCTGTAGTGCAAAACTTAAGCTGATAGGGTTAAATTTTAAGCCTGGGCAAATATACTTCAATCTGAAGTGTTTGACAATCCTGATATGCGAAGGTGAATACATCATTAAACCCTCATGGTAGAACAGAATTCCACCGTCACAAAGCACGTGGGTCTTCCCGACTGCTCTCCCCTCCACCTGTGCCTCACTGAGGAGCTTGGGGTAAGCATCAGTATTATTCAGATCAGGGGTCCCCACTGAGGCCAAGGCCTCTTGGGATGTGCTCCATGAGGATCTGGGAGAACTGCAATCTTTTGAGCATTTTTTAATGCTTTGTATGACTTTTGTGCAATTATATAAGTTCAGTTTGAACAAAATGCTGTTACCTGTTAAGGCTCTATTGACTGAGAATAGATATGTCATTCCCCCAAAAGGGAAGAGCATTTGTTACTATCATTTTTAAAATAAACTGTAAAACAATATAAGAGTGTATGGTTTTGTGTGTGTGTGTGTGTGTGTTATTTTTGAGTCTAGCATTTATAGCTTTAAATGTGACATTTTTGTTTTACAAAATATTTTATTTTACAAGGTATTTATTAACTACTGTCACAAAGTCATGATAGTAAACTTGAGATAATTTTATCAGTCATAGAAGGGGAAGAAACTGGATTAGATTGACTCAAGGATCTAAAATATATAATGGTGACTATAGACAGTAACATTGTATTGTACAATTGAAATTTGCTAAGAGAGTAGGACTTAAATATTCTCACCAAATTAAAAAGAAAAGGTAAATATGTAAGTTGGTGGATGTGTTAATGAACTAGATGGGGGACACCTTTTCACTATGTACACATGTATCAAATCATCACAATATACACTTTAAATATTTTGCAGTTTTGTTAATTACAGCTCAAGAAAGCTGGTGGGGAGAAAGATTGACTCTCCATAAAATGGTCCCCAGACAGCCCCTGCAGCACTCCAGACAGTACAGTACAGCCATGAGGATTTTATGAAAGATGAATTTTATGCAACTGTAAATATGTGAACTTTCATGGGAAGCCATATAAATCCTAAGGGTAGCCATCTCTTCCTATTAGGAATCCTCTTGAAAATCTGAAGCTAAGACATGCTTTCCAACATTTTTCACTTCCTGGCACACATAGAAAGATATTTTTTTGTATGGCACATTGGAATAAACTTAAGGGGACTTAGGAATGTGTACAAGTGACTTACAGGAAAAAAATTACATACCCTTTACATAATTAGAGAAAAAATTGTGCAAAGTTTTATAGAAATATTTAAAATTTGTGTAACACTTCCAAAAGATAATTTTTAAATGTCAATAAAAGACTTAGCTTACTTCTGGTAGCATGATTTTCTTTGATAACAGGCTGAAACACCTACACACGATTCCTGATCCAGACTTTGTGGGGACAGTGTCTTCAGAGTCTTCATAGTCACAAGAAACTTATTTGCCCATGTATTGCGATGAAAAATTTAAAACCATTTTTATGGTCATTCAAAAATTTATGATTGAGGGGGAGGGTATAGTTCAAGTGGTGGAGTGCATGCCTAGCATGCACAAAGTCCTGGGTTCAGTCCCCAGTACTTCCTCTAAAAATAAATAAACCTAATTACCTCTCCCCACAAAAAAAATTTATGATTGAACTGATGAATGGATAAATGAAATGTGCATGTATACAATGAAATATTATGCAGCCATAAAAAAGAA